TTCATTGTGTGTTGTGTGAAATAGTGTTGATTAATTTTCGGATTGCATGGCGCTATGTAAGGTGAAAGAAATTAGCAGTAGTACTGCAGCTGATCAGAACCCTTTCTGTAGGGAAGTGTGCGTGCCACGTAATGAAGATTCTGAAGAAGATTAGGTAAGTTAGTATTTTTAATCATTTTTAATCATTTAAGGATATTATTTTTATGCATTGTTCTAAATGTAAGGAATAAATAAATTAATATGCTATTATGGAAAATTGTTATTAGCAATGATTTAGTTTAAAGTAATTAGGATTGTAATCTAATTTTTATTAATTTAATGTATGTGCTTATTTATATTTTAAGTAGTGTTTTTTTAATTTAATTATATTTTAATTTAATGATCGTGATTTTGTGAGTTATATCTTTGTAGTATTTTGGAATACGTTTGAGTAGAATACATTGAGTGTTTTCCTGCATTTTCGTGAAATTTTTCTAATTTATGAGAAAAAAGCAGTGTACATAGATATAGTGAAGAGTGTGCGCAATGCCATTTTTGTGCAATTCTGGGATGTTTTTTTAAGTAAAAATAAGTCGACGTGTACATGGTTTAATTATATTTTAATTAAATGATAGTTTTGTGAATTATATGTTTGTAGCAATTTGATATACGTTTGAGTGGATGTAAATAATTTAAATATTTGACAGCAAGTATTTGTAACCATTTTTAATGTTTTGTTATGAATTTGTTGGTGACGTTTATAATAGATAATTTAGAGGTAAAAGTTTTTTAATATTTTATTTATTTTATACGTGGAAATGTTCATATTTGGAAAGGGTATATACTTTTTTGCGATCAGGTAATTTCATATATGTTCTTTTTAACCAGGTTTAAAAGATTCACAAACTTTTCCTGCGTTTTCGTGCAAATTTTTGTAATTTATGAGAAAATAGCAAGCATATTTTTTATGATAGCATATTTTTGTAATTTATGAGAAAAAGTCAAGAGTGTGCGCAATGCCATTTTTGTGCAATTCAGGGATGTTTTTTTAAGTAAAAATAAGTCGACGTGTACATGGTTACTGTGTATGTGCGATTTTGAAAAACGCGGCAAGGAGTTTGCAATTCTGCACTTTTTCCCAATTTTGCAGTTAATATTTGTCATGATTAAGCAGTTTTGTTCCATAAAATTTCTAGCATAAGTGTAATTTGGCTAGGAGATTGTTGGAAAAAGTGTTGAGTAAATAAAAAGAAAAGAAATATGTCTTTACTTCGTGAAGACAAAATGGCGGCGAAAAAAAAATAGAGGATTGCTGTAGCAGAGTTGGTCGCCAAATTTTTGCCAAAAAATCTCCAAGTTACCATAATCCAAAGATCAACCAACATTAACAATAATTTTTTTCTCTTAAATGTTCTTTTTTCTCATAAAATGAATCTTTTAATTATTTTTTTGAACAGTGCAATACCTTTTAGCCATAAATTTAGCTAAACAAACAAATTTCACCAATTCAGTCACCTGTTAGTTGACAACTGTTTTAGAGATACAGACAATCAGAAAATTAAAATATATATATATATTATATAATGTTGTATGAACTTAAATCCATTTAGTGCGAATACAAGTTATTATTACTTGCGCAATTGCTGCAAAGTTAGTTAATAATAATTTATTTCCTAAACCGTATTGATTAATTGATTATATTATCTCCTAAGTTTAATTAAAGTAGAATTATTTTAAAAGTGGCATCCATACTGGTAAGTTATATTTTGAAAGATGTTTTGAAGTAATTTGAAAGCAAAATGTTAATAATGTTTTAACGGGGACTGGAGTTAAATCATCACGAAGAATAATATTACAATTGTAAAAGTAAAAATTAAAACATGTAATTATTGTCATTGATCGGAAATTAGTTGACTTTTCAAGGGGAACAAACCAACTCCCGTTCAATGATCAATAATTGATAGAAAATACGTAAATATGAAAGTGTTTCATCTTTACTCGAGTTATAAATTAAAGCCAAACCGGCAATTCTAGTCAGGCCAAATATTTCCGCGAATAGTTGTTACTCAAAGAACTGATTCTCATGAAGCATTTTAGTCAATTCAATTTGGAGTAAAAATCAATTACTGTAGAGAAATCTTGTAAAACTCGAGTAATCGTCCCCGACACTATCATCTTTATGTATTTGAGTACTATATTATTTGTAGAAATTAAACATTGGAAATTGTCATTATGAAATCGAAATCAAAGTAAAGTTGAAATAAACATAGAAGATTATAAAAAAGATAAACAATGCAAACTTTGCAAAAACAAATCAAAGAGAACATAAAAATAATATAAAAATATATAAAAAAAAATAGAAAATAATATAAATAAGATCAGTGAATGTACATGAAGATATAAAGGCCAGAAAGGTATTAAGTAACTTACATTCTTTCTAGTGGGGGAGTTGGCAGTGTGTTCTCTTCGTGTCTGACTCAGAAGTGTAGGGTGTCCGAAAATTCTTAGCGGCAGTAGGGGCTTTGAATTATATCAGTCGGCAAGACTTGGGTGAAGAAATTTATGGTAGTGGGTGGGACTTGGAATTCTTGAGGGATGTATTTTGTGGAGTTCTTATCTGAGAGAGACCGTCTGTTAAGATTTTTTTAAAAATACTAGTGAATGGAAATTAATTAATTTCTGGCTAATTGTTGTGTCGCAATGATTAAGAATTTAAGAAAGGAAAAAGGCATTTTCGCTATCCAAGAGCTAGTAGACAGTCTAAAGGCAGGAAATAGGCCTGCCTTTAGACTTTTTTTATCTTTTTTATAATCTTCTATATTTATTTCAACTTTACTTTGATTTCGATTTCATAATGACAATTTCCAATGTTTAATTTCTACAAATAATATAGTACTCAAATACATAAAGATGATAGTGTCGGGGACGATTACTCGAGTTTTACAAGATTTCTCTACAGTAATTGATTTTTACTCCAAATTGAATTGACTAAAATGCTTCATGAGAATCAGTTCTTTGAGTAACAACTATTCGCGGAAATATTTGGCCTGACTAGAATTGCCGGTTTGGCTTTAATTTATAACTCGAGTAAAGACGAAACACTTTCATATTTACGTATTTCTATCAATTATTGATCATTGAACGGGAGTTGGTTTGTTCCCCTTGAAAAGTCACTAATTTCCGATCAATGACAATAATTACATGTTTTAATATTTACTTTTACAATTGTAATATTATTCTTCGTGATGATTTAACTCCAGTCCCCGTTAAAACATTATTAACATTTTGCTTTCAAATTACTTCAAAACATCTTTCAAAATATAACTTACCAGTATGGATGCACACTTTTAAAATAATTCTACTTTAATTAAACTTAGGAGATAATATAATCAATTAATCAATACGGTTTAGGAAATAAATTATATATATATATATATATAAGGTTTTGCATTTTTTGGTGCAAGAGTGGACTGAACTGCAGGGCTGATTTTACATATGACTAAAGCTGAAGTTTAGACTGTTCGAGAAAATTAATTACTCAGACTTTTGAGAGTATAGCAGTAATGACTAGACATGCTATCTGATGATTTTGAGTTTGACAGTTTAAAAATATATGACATATATTTGACCACAGCAACCAAGACCATGAGTGAGCTAAACAAAAGCTTATAGAAAGGTGTGCTGAATTGAAATACCCAGTTGTTGAATGCCTGATATGCCATTAATATATGTAAGCTCATTTAAGCAGTTAAAAAGATTCAAATAGTAATGAATCTAAAAGAATTCATAAAATTAAGTAAGCAATTTAAAACATACGTTTCACATGCCATAAAAATGACAGCACCCTTTAGTCAAATTATTGTAATATACCATTGAAAATTGACTATTTGGATTAGGCTGAATCATTTAAGGTTAAGCAAGGAGCATCTGTACGTTGCAGATGACTTTTTAAAAAGAACAAGATCTGCACTTACACTCATAAAAAGAAAATCAGTATTGTTTTTTATTAAAATGTCCACTGTAATTACCAGCCAAAACTAAAAAATTCATCAAAAATTACAGAACTCTTTATTCTAAAATTCATTTAAAAAAAAAAAAAAAAAAAAAAAAACTATGTGATGGTTGCTGTAATAGAAAAAGTACCAAAAACAACGTAAAGCTCATGCAGTCAGCCCATTTAACTGCCGAATATTAAACCTACCAGCATTCTGAAGTTTCAGCCATGGTTCAAATATTTATACATTTCCTTACTCAAAGCACTGCAAATAGCAACCCTTATTTTTGATCCAACTCAATTTAACTTTTTGCACATGTTACAAACTTAAGAATATGGGAAAAACAAGTTCCAATTAAAAAGTCTCTATATAAACTATGATGCATAATTTAATCAAGCTTATCTTTATAGCAGTTTGCACAGGAATTCATTTAATTAATATCTCAAAACTATATCATTCATATAATTAAACTATGCTTATACAGGCTTTTGGAATGAATGCATGACACTATAACGTATATTTTTTCTCTTAATAACACAATGATCCATATCATTCTTAAAAACCAGCTAAGATAACATAATCAAAATTTATAGTTAAAAATGCTACAATCGAATTAAATAATCGCATATATTTTTATAACAAAATGTAGAATTTGTATTTTATTCCGTCTTAAGCATGCATTCCACCAGAATTCTATGAGCTTCAATGAATGAGAGGCTTCGTACACGTTATTTTGTACCAATATTGCAACACTGCACCTTTAGCATCACTATACTATACAGCTGCAGTTTCATACAGCGGCAGCTTTTATTACCCATTCTAAAAAGGGGTCCGGTGCTTGCTGGGTGTTCAAACTGACCCATTCTAAAAACAGCTTGGAACTTTTACCGAAAATACACGAATACAAGAGATTAAATTAAAATTTCAAAACAATTCTAACATACAATAAAATTGTACCGTAAGAAATACTACTACTAATAAAGGAATTATTTGTTTATCCAAATAAAAAGAAGAAAACAGACTTACATGTATGCAAACACTCTGTGATCGTAGTGGCATCAATGAAGTAACCAGCACAGAGAATGCATACAATTTGTGGATTTAGATCTCGTATGCATACTCTGTGCCCCTAAAACAAGAGAATATACTTCATGATTTCATTCAGTTATTGACGTTCATTAAATCATTAACACATATTTCCACTTAACTAGAATATGACATTTAAATGTCACAACATTAGAAAGGGACAAATGCATAAACAATGCATATAGGGAAATAAGCTAAACACATATTAATAACTCACCAACTCCATATCCTAAACCAAAATACATTTAAAGAACGATAAGACAGCATATGCTGCTTTCAACACAGATCGGTTCCATTCCATCGCCCTATCAGTATCGTCCTAATTTTATGATCGGTATCGTCTGGATAGAAACCGCTGTTGCCAAAAGGAAATTTAAGAACTTAACCATTATCCTGTGGCTTTGTTTCCCTTTTTTTTATTCTTGCACACACACACACACAGATCGTATTTTATTCTCGAGTATCAAGATGTAGAAACATCTTTTTACTCGACTTCTGATAAGAATCGAGTAGGAGGAGAAAGAGTAGGGTGGAAGGAAGTGTGGGAGGCAGAAAAAAGAGAGTGAGGTCCGCACTAGCGGCAGCGAAAAAAAGGGGGGGGGCAAGTTCAATGTCGTTATAAGATGTAGCCGCGGGTGGTAAACCGCAGAGTCAGTTTAGCGTAAATGAGTCAATTAAAGTTGTGATTCTTATGTGGGTAGGATGTCACAAGGTAACGATGTTTTTCTCTGGGATGCGGGGAGTGTCTGAGAGTGCTAATAAGGCTATTACTGTGGGTTTGTACTGAATAAAAGAAGTTGACCGCTAATCGTTTAATATACTCTTGAATAAGTTCGATTCGAAGGTCTCTGTGAATATAGATGTTTGGAATATACCAAAGAGCATTGATAATTTCTAGTAGAATTTTATTTTGTAGAATTTGTAATTGTTTAATATTGGTTTTAGCCAGAGTCGTAGCTAGGGTTTTCAGCGCAGTCGTAGCTAGGATTTTCAGTCGTAGCTAGGTTTCAGGGACAAATGAAGATTTCGCGCCCCCTACTGCTTGTCAAGGATGGAAAACATTTAATTCTAAAATGTCGAAACATCAGTTGGCGCCCTTTGGATTCTGCGCCCGGGGACAGATGCCCCCTCTTGCCCCCTCTATCTACGCCCCTGGTTTTAGCTGCATGTCCCCAGATCGGTGCTGCATAAAGGAGGGCTGGGCGAAGTATGGAGCGATATAGAATTAATTTGTTTGTAGTATATAAGTTGCTTTTTCTACCAAGAAGAGGTCGCATAGTAGCTGTGGTGATTTTAAATTTGTGTACTACGGACCGGAAGTGGGTTCTGAAGGTAAATTATTCTTACAATCCGCTCTTTACGCAAATCTTCATCCTTAGGAAACAGGTGAAAGGAAATCTTGTTCTTTTTACATTTGTCCTTGAAACTTATTTGGACAACTGTACGCACAACATGCAGTAAACATTGCAGAGTCGTAGCTAGGGTTTTCAGCGCCCAGGGACAACTGAAGATTTCGCGCCCCCTACTGCTTGCCAAGGATGGAAAACATTTAATTCTAAAATGTGGTAACATCAGTTTGGTGCCCCTTGGATCCTGCGCCCAGGGACAGATGCCCCCCTTGCCCCCCTCTAGCTACGCCCCTGAAACATTGTCTTAGAAACTGGAAATGTAAATAGCAATTTAGTGTAGTAATGTAATTGGCAATTTATTAATTTTATTATTTTTAGCAATACTAAAAATAATAAAACTGTAATAGAAAATCATAAAGTAATTAACTATCAAATCAAGGAGAGAATTCATACATAAATATTAACAATCAAAACATGGAAGAGCATCATGAAAATAACAATAAAATATAACAATTACGAAAATTATAATAACCAAATGAACGAACAGTTAATTAAAGGGTGAAACAATGATTGAAGAAAAACGAGAATTTTATAAACAATTTTAAGTAAACAACATTTTCGACAATTTTGACGCAACAGAACAACCTTGTTTGTGTACATTAAGGCTCTCTAGGGATCTCTAGGAGCTCTATCAACAACACTCAGTTGGAAAATTTAATCAAGAATCAAGGAAGGATTCAATTCAGGGGCGTAGCTAGAGGGGGCAAGGGGGGCATATGTGCCCGGGCGCAGAATCCAAGGGGCGCCAAACTGATGTTACGACATTTTAGAATTAAATGTTTTCCATCCTTGGTAAGCAGTAAGGGGCACGAAATCTTCAATTGTCCCTGGGCGCTGAAAACCCTAGCTACGACTCTGGTTCAATTACATGACTCATAGGCTTAATGCCTTTATCCCTACATCATCAAAGATTAAATAATTACCATCAAAAAGAGGGTTCGGTAAAGAGGTAAAATTTAATGTCGAATTGTCAAAATAACAAAAGGTAAACTGCCATAAACAGCAAAGAAATAAAAAAATTGAAGGACGTAATTTAATAATTTTGAGATCGAATCAGAGTCGTAGCTAGGGTTTTCAGCGCCCAGGGACAACTGAAGATTTCGCGCCCCCTACTGCTTGCCAAGGATGAAAAACATTTAATTCTAAAATGTCGGAACATCAGTTTGGCACCCCTTGGATTCTGCACCCGGGGACAGAGGCCCCCCTTGCCCCCTCTAGCTACGCCCCTGGTTCGAATAAAGAGCCAGAAACAATTTTCAAGGGTTACATCATGAATTTTGAAAAGATTTGATATTTTCGTGACCAATGATCTTGTGGTGCTAACAACACGAGAAAGGAACCACTCGCGAAAGGTCATTCATGTCGCGCGGGCAAATGGTTCGGGTCTGGGTAGGGAAGGGAGCGGGGAACTCGTTAGGCGAGTTTAGATTTAAAGTGACAGGACCAGAACTACCTCTGATGAGAAACATGAGATAAATAAATTAATAGCTTTAAGTGTTATGACATAATAGTAATAACTTAAAGAATTCTCTTAAACAGATTGACAAGAAACCTTTTAGCAGGAAACAAAGAGGAGCGAAAAGCTATCTTGATTGGGTAACAGCTTTTTCATGTCGTAGTTGGCTTCGACAAAGTTGGTAGTGCTATCCGAATATGTAGGCCGATGCTATTCGCACCAGCGGTAGGATTAGCCGCTTCAGCTATTTGCACCAACATTAGCCACGCATGCGCTTTGAGTTGTCGGATCCATCATTTGAAACGAATCGAAAAGATGGAAAGTACGCGAACTGCCAAAGTCTGTTGTAGTGAGTCTTTTTTTTTTTAGTTTACCTAAGACTCAATCAAAAGCTATCTTGATTGGGTCTTAGGTAAACTACCGCTCTATATGCAAATGTTGAAGTACCAGCGAAACCTACAACAGCCTTTTTGTCGGTAGTAGCATGTAAAGCATTCTTTCTATCTTAAGGTTTTCTAAGTCTTTTAAGTTTGAAACAAAACGGTTCCATTCACTGGCAAACGGTTCAAGTAATTCATCGTCCCAGTTCAATTTTATAGACCATAGTTTCAGAAGGAATATTTTTGCTTTACAAGTGACTGGCCCGATAAACCCAATAGGATCATACAGCCGGACTATGGGCGAAAGGACATCTTTCTTCGTAAAAGATGATTTGTCTTGGAAAGCAACTTTAAAAGTAACGATGTCAGATTCCGGCTGCGTTACGAAGTTTTGTAATTCATGCTTAAGTGATCTCTTATCTAAGCTAAATGTCTTACGTAAGTCCATTTTGTAACTTCACATTGAATCTTAATTTTTCTAAAACTGCTTAAGACGTGTTTAAACGTTTTTGGAATTTCTTTAAAAATGCTTAAGACGTCTTTACACGAATTTCAAATCGCACGAAAAATGCTTAAGACGTGTATACACGAAGCCCGAATTTCGCGAAGATTGCTTAAGACGTGTTTAGACGACGCGATCTGGTCTTCCTTCCCCTACCTTTCTGCAGGCGGCTGTCAGTTGACACAAAGGTCTTAATAGGGTGTGAAGTCTCTTTGAAAAGAGCACTTTAGGAAAAAGTCCTTAGAGTGAAGTATCTTTGTCAGACAGCAGGTATGTATTATCTGTGTGCCGACTAAAAGTTTGCGAAAGAAGATAAATCGTTTTACAACTGTTTGCCTTGTGGTACTTTATACAAATGAAAGTCAAACAGGATCCGACGTTGTTATAGTACATTGCCGAATTTTAGTAGAAACAAGAAAAAATAAGAATTGTAACGGAGGACGCCTTTATGCCTATATGTTATAGAATCAAATATTTTATTTTTGTATTGAAAAATGATTACAATTTCTGATTCGTCAGGAAAAAATATAAAATGTTGCAACCAGCTTTCTTGTTTGCCTTCGTATTTCAAATGCGCGTTATTATAATGGTATATTCTTCTTTTTACATTCTTAAATGTTAAAACTGTGCTTTCAGCATGCCTGAGTTTTGTACTCGTATGTGTGGCTCTATGCTCCGTAGAAATGGCGAACTGACATATAAAAATTATATGAATGTTGAAAGGAAGATATTCTACTCGAAACTTCAACTAAATGGAATAAATGAATACGCCGAAGGAATTTCTAGAAATATTTGTTTTAAAAATTTTATTATTAAGATTTTAAATACAAATGTTTTGAAATCTAAAGAAAAAAATATGTAATCCTTGAAACATTTTTGGAAAGAAATCTATCGATATAAAATCTCTTAAAATTAATGGAGTGTAAATTAATTAAAACAGTTAGTGTACGGAAGGGTTAGATATACTGCGCACAAAAAATTACAGTCAGAAGATCAATTATTTAAAGATATAAATTAATTACATTAAAAGAATTTAAAATAAATTAACATCTGTCCAAATGTCAATGCTAACAGCAATAGCACGAATGAAAGTTATTCTTTAAATTCCGAACTTAATTCATCCGTCGGTACGCAATGATTGTGTCTTTGCGATTACTTTTCTTATAGATACTACAAAAGGCCGCCAACGAAGTAGCGGTAAAATCGTTGAATACTAATAGTTTGAAGCGGGTTCAAATCCTGATGAATGGATTGCCTGCATACCAGTTTTAGCGAATTTTTGCTGCCCATGTTTAATGTGAATATGAGCCAATTTTAGTTAGCTTTTCATGATGACGTGCCTTGACTACGAGTCCTCGCTCGGGTTGTGTTTGGTTTGGCTTGTTAGATTATTAAGCACGTGAAGGCGATCTGTCTAAGGGGAGGTATGCTTTCGTGACAGATTTTCTAAGGGAAACAATCTCGCACTACAAAAAGTTAAAACCATAAAAACGCCCATGCAATCAGCTTGTTCACGGGGGTTTGAATGCAGGTCAAACTACCAGATTATGTTATTTAGTTTGTCATAAGCAAACATTCTTGAAATCTCTTCACATTACTGAAATGGCAATAACTTCGCTAATATGAAAT